ATTGGCTGAGACCTCCACAGTTCACAAATGCACAATAGCAACCTGCATTATAGTGACCCTCTTTCCTGTGGCAGACTTTTAAAATTATCATGTTGTTTGACAATAATTCACATGTTGCTTTTCTATAGAGGAGGATTCAAATTTGTCCTATTTCTTTTTCAAACTTAGTATGGAAAAGACTGCCATCTAGATCCTCCTTGGGAGTTAATGGGCTATTCCTTTCATCCATATTAATTCGTCTTGCTTTCTTAGCTTCTGTTAGCCCTGCATCTGAAGGTTGAGATTTGGTAGAATGCAGCTGTACTGAGTCTGAAGCTATTTGACAGAGCATTTGTCCCCAAATTGTCCTGTTCTGGTTTCTTGGGTTGAATCTTTTACTTAGCACTCCCTTAAGAAATAGCTGTGTGCACAGAACCCTTGGTCCCGAAGAAACACAAACATATACTAAAAAGATCCAGTGTCTTCTCTTCTGACAGATCTTTCCTACGGGAGGAAAACAGGCCTACCAGCAAGTAAGTCCGGCTTGCAATGAAACATACTGGCAGATAGGTACATAGTGTGGCAAAGGAGACTAGGGAGGAGGAAGACATTTCTACATCTTGAAGCAGGGTTGATAATATGTAAAAGCTTCAAAAGATCCAGGACCTTCAATGGTAAACAAGAACTGACAAGTAAGGAAGAGATCTTAATGGTGGATGCCTGCAAACCCACGAGACTGAGGCAAGAATTTCAGCCCAAGCTGGGTTACGTACGTAGCTGAGTCCTTGTACAACAAAAATGAAAAAGAGGACGGAAAAGAAGAAGGAAGTAGGGAGAGTAGGAGAGACTAGAAAAATGATACCCAGGAGAATATATCTAATGAATGTCTCAAACCTATCATAAAATAATCTCAATCAGCTGTACAGAACACAGTAAAGAGGTATACCAGTTGGCTTAGTACAGCTGATACCTTTGTCCTTTGGATACATGGTAACCTGAGCTTTGCTTTTCCATGTTTGGATGCTGTTTTTATGCACACTAAACATACAGAGAGAGGTCCCTATGCAAGTTCTGGGAGAAAGGAAATTTGATTAGCAAAACTTGCCAGTTTCCTTGTTCTTCATCCTACGTGAGACTTCTGAGCTGCTCCTGTGACAGTGGTCGCAGAACAAGTCCTCGTTCTGTCGGTCTTCAAGTGGATGATCTTGAGGTTCTCAAGCTCCACCGAAGACTGAAAGACACTGCCAGTAACTTCCTATCGTCAGCACGGGGGGCGGGGCGGGGGGTTGTCATGTGCACACTGAGTTACTCAGAACTACCAGAGTGTCCTTAGACACCTTTGCTTTCGGGACTGTCACATGTAGTAACTCCTGCTTCTGAAGTGTCCCTTGCCCTTCCTCTCCCTTGCAGCTCGACATGCCGTTCCCTGCATCTGGAAGCAAGAGCTCTAGAGGCACACAACCTGTACAACTGCATGCTTAGGAAGGCTTCACGGTTGGCTTAATCTCCTGCGGTTGTCATCTTGAAAGGCCTAGTCATTTTGTTAACAAGGAGAAGGCATTTTAACTTTGTGCTGAACGTTGCAAATTATGCATCTGCTTCCATCCGGAAGACAAACCCACTTCGAGGTGAATTTCTATAAAGCCTTGTCCATACACCTGACACGGGAGCCCTCACAAAATGTTTCTGAGTCCAGTCGCGTCACAGGGATTCCTTTAGCCATCATTCCCTTTGCAGAGGGACTGTCACAGGCATGTAGTTTAAGCAGCCCCCCATATACTTTTGACATTTTTTTTTGCAGGTAACTGATTTGACCAAATGTTATGTTTTGACCTTGACTACGCTTTATTGTCCCATTAGCAACTGTATAATCAGCCTTTTCCCTTTGAAGTTCCTTCAAGTTTATAAACACCGGCACCCCCAAACACTGACTCAAAACTTCCCCATGGCACAGATTTCATGTGTTAGGTTGAATTTAACATTTTCTTGAGCACAATCCGATTTAGGATATGCAGGGGTTTGATAAATGCTAAGCCTTATGACTTCTGTTATTAAAGACTCATACCCAGACTCTGCAGCTGAGCCGGTCAGTAGCTCTTCCTTGAGCTACAAAAACAGCAGCTGAATAGCCACAAGGGAGGGAAGTTATTTTCTTAGCCTTGACAAATTGAAAGGGCTCTCCTTAAGGTGAGTGACAAGGGGGGATCTGTAAACTCTGAATTCATCTCTGGACAGCCCATCACAGCTCAAGCCATTTCTTCCTTTGTAGCTGTCACTTTGTGCCTATCCGCATTGGATCCTGACATAGAACTGTCGTGGCTCTGATACAATGATTGCTCACTGACTCTCCAGAGGCCTGAGATCAAAAGTGAGCTCATCACACACTGTTAGCAGATATTAAGGCATTCTCTTGAGGGCCAGGGTTACAGTTCAGTTGGTAGAGAACTTACCTAGAATGCACAGAAGTCCCAGGTTCGATCCTCGGCATAATACAAAACAAACATAGTGGTATACAATGACAAACCGAGTATTTGGGAGGTAGAAACAGGAGGCCAGAAGCTTAAAGTCACTCTTGGCTGTTTAATGAGGTTAAGCCTGTCTGAGTCATATGAAAACCTTCCCCAAAAAGAAAAAAAAACAACATAGATTGAGAATGTGACTTCATCATAGAGCGCTTGCCTTGGTCTTGCTAGGTTCAATCCTCAACATCAAAAAAAGAAAGGAAGAAAGTCTCTTGGTGAAGACCCCTTAAAGAAAGTTCAGGAACTCCATATAGGGTATTGCATGGGTCTGTGTCTTGAGGGGCTGGGGGTGACAAGAGACACGTCGTCACGAGCTACTATGTTTTAAAAAAAGTGACCCACGTCTCATTTCTCTCTTTCTCTTTCTGAATTCATGTCTAGAGACTGTGTTTCAAACATGATCTTTATTTAATTGCCCAGTTCCCAGGGAATATTAACTTGATAGTCTCACCCAAATTCACATTCATTTCGAACCAGCAGCGTAATCCAGCCACAACTATACAGGGCAGAATTGACTGTAGCCAGGCTGTGAACACACCGGAGCAGGGAACCCTTGTCTCACTCCGTATCCAAAGCAGAACGGACTTTCCCACAGCAGCCATTGCTCTGCCTGGCCACAGCTTACAGCACATTTTATCAGTCTATGCATCCACAGCACTCAAAATAGTAAACATCGCAGTCTCTTCAAAACAAACTTCACAGACCATGCCACCTAGGCACCCGGGCAATTCTGATCCACAGTTATATGTCAGATCCCTGCCCTTCTGTGTTTGTGCAGTTTGGGAAGCAAATACTGAAAACTGAATTCCTTACTTTGAATTTGCCTCTCCACATTCATCAGTTCTGCAGTTCTTTCTAATTCCCTGGTAGGAGTTAAAGGGCTGGGTCACCTTGGAAACACCACAGGTGTACCATTGCTTGCTGCGTCCATCTACTAGAGCCTGCAGGCCAGGACCTCCCCCAGAGACCTGGTACTGGCATTGAACAGGTGAACGTCGTCTTCTCCTCTTTCCCTCTAAACATCTCCAGTATCTGATAGTTACACATTTCATTTACTTACTTAACAAGTATGTATCAAGCACTCACTGTGGGGGAAACACTGAAGGGCACAGATTTGCCCCAGTCCCTGGACCCAGGGGACAGTGTGAATGCAACCTTTCATTGGTTCTGAGATTCCTGAAACTCAAGCACCCAGCCTGCACCTTCGTCTTGTTCCAAACTCCTATTTGTTGACTAGATGTGCTGCCTGGATTTCATTCTCTAAATGGAGCTTCCTAACTAACAAATACATTCCAAAGTCAAAGGGCTACGCCAGGCATGTCACCAGTCAGGCCGAACTCACAAACAGAATCTCTCTGGCAGAGAAGCTGCTCTGAGGAAAAATTTCCTCCCGCTGACGGACATCCTGCCAGGTTGGGCAACGTGAAAGGATTGCTTTCAACCACGCGGCCTCAGAAATGGTCACAGCTCTGCTGCAGTTTGTCATGGCCCAGGTCTGCTTGCACCAGGGGCCGACAAGAGCTTGTTAACGCCAAAAATGCTTCTCCGAGCTCTGGCAGCTAAATGTCACGGATATGACTATCTCAGCCGCTAGTGGGAACAACACCCAGCTCACTTTCCTAGAATGCAGCGAGGTACAAATCTCCAGGAGCAACAATTCACCTTTTCAAATTGCAGAGCCCAGGAGTGGCAGAGTGGAGAGACTGCAGCTGCTACAAAACAAGGAAAATACAGAGAGAACCTCTGCAAACAGAGGCGGGGAGAGCTGTTGAGGTTAGCTGAGAATTTCCTCGCAGCCGAGGCCATGAAGGCTCTGCAAGCTGCAAGGCTCTGTATAGCATCTAGGAAAGCTTTTAAACACAAGATCCAAAAACATAATTCCAGTCTAGGGCGATCCGAGTCGCTGGAGATGCTGGAAAAGAATAGAAGGGAGCTGCTTTAAAAACCTTCGGCTCAACCAGAAATGAATTTCACTGTGGCTGAAAAGAGCTGGTTCTAATGCCATACAAAATTTGTTTTTAAATGGTTATTTTACCCAGAATCATTGTTTTTTAATGACACTACCCTAATTTGCTGCTAAGCCTTGTTCATCTATAGTCACCCAACATTAATATTTATTTTGCTCATTTAATTTTAAAGTATTCTTAAATTAGAGCTCTTACAAAGATTCCCCTGCTGCTGAAGGCACTACCATAAAAAATACTATGGAAATCTTGATCAGTGTTATAGCAGCTGTCTAGCTCAATCACAAGACATGGCAAACAATTTCAGTAGATTGGGAAATAATCGTTCTAAGACACCTTTTTTTAAAAATGGGCTTCTTCGTCTTGGATTTCACATTGTAATGATAATTAAACTCAAGAATCACCTCATGTTAAAACATTCCCTATGTACATATTATCTTTCTCTTTTAAAATAAAATCCTCAGCATTCAACCCACATTTGTAGGCTTCCCAGATTCTCATAATAAATTACTGTAAAATAAAGCTGCAGGAAAACTGGGCTTGTACCGCATTTAATATAATATACAATATACAACTATACTGTCTGTTTTTCCTATTTGGGTTTCATAATTTCTTAATACAACACCATACAGAATACTTCAGCACAATATGAGTTCAGGACGTGGGAGTATCATAACCACTGCTGGGAAATTCAATGCCAAATCTCAGAATCCCAGAGTAATTCATTTTTATTTCCTCTTCCTCTGAATCCTCTTAGTATCTAAAAGTTCTTAGTTAGAATCCTACACTGTCTGCCTCAGGTACTTTGTTTTGCAAATTTACCTTTAGGAAAATAAGGAGAATACCATGGCTCCAGGACACCCCAAGTCTCCAGCAAACTATTTCAAATTCCTGTCCTTTAGTATTATTGGTTTGGATGGGACTTGAGGAGGAAAGAAAACCTGTGGGTGTCCCCCTAGTCCTCAGTTACAACTTTGCCTTAATATGCCTTCGGATACTGTGTCAAAGACAAAAACACTCCAAGCGGATATTTCTGTCCTTCCACTAACTACAGAGATTGCTGCCACCAGGGCCAATAGTATTCACTCCATTTTGAAACTCATATTCTAATCATTAGAACTTTAAAAATATATATACATATGCCTTTAAATTTTCCTCTTTTTTTTTCTTTCTGAACCAACTTCAGAACAAAAACAGCAGTCTCTGCTTCAAGGTACCCTGTCTCAACTCACAATACAGTAGTAACCAAAACCAAACGCCTTCAAATCTCAAGGGCTTGTTTCTTCCTTTCTCTCCTCAAAGCTGAACAGGAAAGTAGTGTGTGCTCTCTTCTCTGCCCTGCCTGGTTTTGCCTGTAAAAGACTGCTTCCATTCCTGGGAAGCTGGCAGGCGATGGATTGCACACGAGAAAACAACTCCCAATTATTATGAAGGCAGAGGCTTCTCCCAGCTTAGCTGTCCCCCAAGTAGGGAGAGGAGGGGAGCAGAGGCCACCTGAAGTTACCAAGACAAGTAGCCTGGTAAACCCAGAGTAAAGGAGGCAAATATAAAAAAAGAATATTATTTATTATCTTCTTTATTAATACTCACATGTCACCTTTGCTGTTTTACACAAAAGTCTACTTTTGAGGTTGCCTCCTAGGTTTACCAGCCCGGTGGGGGCTTTCTGCTCTGGGACCACTTTCCCCTTCTCCACCCACCCCACTCCACATCCAAATTAATCTTACACATTCACAGATGCCACAAACAATTTGTAAACAAGATTTGCGTTACTGGAACTTTGATTTAACGACATTCCACTTCAATATGGAAGGGAGGAGGGAGAGGACGAGAAGGGGAGAGGGAGAAAGAGGTAGGGGACAGGGCAATTTGTCAGAACTTTCAAGTCTTGCCTTTTCTGAGGTGTGTGTGTGTGTGTGTGAGTGTGTGTGTGTGTGTGTACGCGCACATGTGTTGAGGCTGTTCCTTGAAATTCACTGACTCAAAACATTGACAGCAAGTGCCGGTGTGGTTATTTATATTATATATCTATAATAGAATATGTGGGCTTCCTCAGCTTGGGTCTGGGCTGTGTTTGTTTAAACACAACACCATCCTCTTTGTGGGTGTCTCCAGAGGGTGTCAGATCTCTTGGGAAACCCTCTCAAAGCCGGGGCTTCCGAAGCAGGGTCTTGCTGAGGTCTTTGACCTCTTCAGGGCTGTTGACCCGCTCATAGCCCAGCACTGCCATAGGTTGGTAGCAAAACTCCTCCACCTGCTTGATCTGCTGGAAGGTGAGCGCGGTCCGCCAGGCATTGGCGGCCTGAGTGGCATTGCGAGCTGACACCACGAAAGGCTTAGAGGACGAGCCTGAACCACTGGTCATGTTCAGGGCAAACTGTTCCATTTCAGGACTCACCAGCAGCCCCACAAAGTCGTACACCCTCCGTAGAGTTTTGACCGGGTCTCCCACCAGATCCTCGTACCTCACCACTAAGTAGTGTCCTTGTAGCCAGTCAGGCGGCTGCAGGGCTGTCTGCAGCGTTTTGGCCATACTGTTGCAGATGACCTCCATTGCGCCCAGAGCATGGTAGTCTGCTGGTCCACCCATACCCTCCTTCTTGGCACCCAGCTTGTGGCCAGCGGCCTCCAGGAACGGCATGCGGTGAGCTCTCGGATCCCGGCTTCGCACCACCTGTAGGCTTTCCCGGATGAGGCCGTGGCGTGAGCGGATGCGAGAGCTGGCAACCGCGCGAGGATCCCGCACCAGGTGGATGACCTTGAGGTCCAGGGCTGGATCTCGAAGCAGCGGAGCCAACACAGCCACATCGAAGACGCGCACGCCCTTGATAACCAGCGTGCGATATTTGCGGCACTCCTCTTCGAAGCGTGCCAGGCGTTGAGGTGGGCACTTCTTACACACGCGGTCGTCCACCAGCCCGACGACCTCCTTGCGGTAGGCGGGACAGAGTGGCGAGGAGCACACCACCTTGTTGGTGGCTGCCCCAAAGATGCCCAGAGTGGTGAGGTTGCGCCCCCCACTGCCGGCGGGGCTATACAGCTGGAAAACCGAAAGATCGCAGCGGTACAGAGCGCTCAGCATGTCCCGCGCTGCCCCCTGCAGGGAAACCGCGTCCCCGGGGTACAGTTTTTGCCACACGTGCCACACAGGCTCGTAGAGGAAGAACACCTCAGGGTTCTGGTTGAAGAGCTCGCCGAAGAAGGACGAACCGGAACGCCACGTAGTGAACACATACACCAACTGCCGCTTGTCCCCTCCACCCCTGGTGCCTCGAGTGCCATTGCCTGGAGAGGCCGCCGCTCCTACAGCCCCCGCCGCGGCTGCGGGAACTGCCCCCAAGCCGGCTGCGGGAGGGCGGTATGGAGTACGGGGGTCCATGCGCGGGTGAGCGCGGGGTGGCGCTGCAGGAGGCGACCCCGGCCGTCCCCAGCCGCCCCCTGTCGCCCCCGCCGCGGCACCCAGAGGCCCGTCGGGGTTGCACTGCTGCAGCGGCTCCTTATGCCACTTGTAGTCCAGAAGGTTGAGCATCGTGAGCACCAGCAGCAGTGCGTAGCCCGCGCACAGCACCAGCGCCTTCCTGCGAAACACCTTCATCCCGAGCGGGGACGCAGGCCAGCGGCGTCCTGCGCGCCGGGGCCACGGCGGGAGCAGGGCCCGCTGCACGGCGGCAGGCGCAGCCGGCAGCGGCCGGGGAAGCGCGCCCGGGGGAAGAGCTCGAGGCGAGCTGCGGCTCATCACAGGCACAGCCGGGGCCGGCGGCGCGGCGGAGGCAGCCCTGCAGCCCGGGAGGGGGACGCTGCAGGCCGGCTGCGGGCGCCGGGACTGGGGCCGCCGATCCGAGGCGGGCGCGGCGGCAGAGGCGGCTGGTCCCCAGCGCCCAGGGCTGGCTCTCCCATGGCAGCGGCTCCGAGAAGGACCTGCGAGGGGAAGCGAAGTGAATGGGTGAGCCCAGTCTCCCGCCCAGATGCCTCCTCCGCCAGAGTAACGCCCACCCCCCGGTCTGAGGGCTGCCCCCACTTACCTGGAGCAGCGGATGCGGCCCCAGAGCGTCCCCGGATCTCCGACCGGCGGACTGTCCGACTAGCGCTTTCCTCGGTTTCTGTCCGGTTCTCTTCTGCCGGGGGTCCCCAAGCCTTCGAGGGAGCCGCGGGACTCCGCTGCCCTAGCCCTAAGCAGAGTTTCCCGGCAGCGGGCGCCCTGCAGCTCAGAAGGGGAAACTTTCACCGGGCCCAGAGCCCTGCTCTGCACTCCACCGAGCGCGGCGCGTCCCGGCTCCAGCGACGTCTCCCCCGAGTCTCTCGGGACCGCAGCTTCCCTCCCGGCTCTGGGGTACGAAGCAGGCTAGAGGCAACAGTGCGGAGTAGCTTAGATACGTCCCAGCTCCAGGCTAATCCGCTCTCCATCGCTCGCACTCGGCCTCCACGCAGCGAACCTTCCCATCCCTCCGGCGGTGGCGGAGAGGGTACAGCGCGGCCCCGCAGCGGCGGCTGCTTCTTCCATCACCCGGAGGATGTCCGGGCAGGCGACTCAGGCGAGCCCCGGCGCTCCGTGGCTGCGAACTGGCCCAGGAGGAACCCTGGACACGTAGCTTTAAGCAAAAGAGCGGGACCCTCCCCGGCACCGATTGCTTCTGCCCAACGAAGTCCCGAGGTAGAGGAAGCCCCCGCTGCGACCGCACTAAAGCGGCGCCCCGGAGGATGCTGCTACCCGACTCCCCCTACGCCGGGCGCCTGCAACGCGCTCGGGCCAGCCTCTGCGCGGCTCCTGCCAGCCCGCTCGGGGTTGGTGCGCGCCGCCGTCTGTCGCCCCGGCTCCTCCCCTTCGCCACGCTACTCCCCCCCCCCCCCCCCCCCCGCCTGTCCCACACCCTCCCTCCTCGCAGCTCCCGACTCCAGCGGCTGCCTCCTTAGGGGCTGGAGATGCGACCCGGTTCAAGGCGGCGCCTCTTGGGCCGCCATCCGCGAGTCACAGAGCTCTAGGTTCTCCTGGAGCCTGATTCGCGACTCTCCTGCACAGCCAGAGACTTGGGTTCTCAGCGGCTGCAAGACTCACTCGGCTCCAGTGAGAAGAGTTGGCGATAAAAGTTTGGGCAGAAATCCCCCGTTCGTCCCCAGCGGTCAGCACTGGTGTCCCCTCCTAAGGAGGAAGCAGCGCCACCAGGCAGCGCTGGGTATCAGGAGAACACAGTTCTGAGGCTTCGACCCCAGTGCTCGCCCTTTCCAGTTGGCTCGTGGTTTCTCCCTCAAGGAGGAAGTAATAAATCTTTCTGGCCCCAGGGTCACTGAAGGGATTCAGAGTGTGCTTTTCGGCACCCTATCCGAGTATCCCAGACTTGGACAAGACCACTAGGTTTCGATGACACCCGCCGCCGCCCCCCCCCCCCACACACACACACACACCTCGCCAGGCAGATGCTCTAGGCTTGCGCTCCTAGTGGAGCTTCCATCCTCCGAGACAGGGCTGCTGGGGGAGGGGTGGACGCTGTTTTATTTTCTAGTAAAATACTTTTCGGGGCCCCTTGACTTTAAGGAGGAAGAGACGAGATCAAAGAACTTGATCACAACGGAAAACGTTCTCGGTCGTTGAAAGTTGCTTTTTCAGTTTGATCTGCGTTGGCTTTTTTTAACTTGTGAGAGAGCACCGAGAGTGAACCATAGCCCCAACCATAAAGTGGAGCAGTAACCCTAGGCGATGGCAGGGGCAGGATGGGTGAGGATTTGAGGGCAACATGGGAAAGATTGTACTCCCGTTTCCACCTAGAAGGCGGGCAGAAAGGTGAGTCATTGTGGTCCTGAGGTTCAGCCCTGTGGTAAACTGCGGATCACTGGGAAGCTGATTGTCCCCGTCCCTTTGAAGCTTTCACAAGTAAAACACCATTACTACAAAATGATCTTAGTCTCTGGAGCAGCCTCCCTCGGCCTGAAGACCCTTCTAAATCCATTGATGACATGTTTCTTCCCGGGAATCATACAGAATGTTCTGGATACAAGGATTGTTGGGGGCGGGGGGGGGGGCGA